ATATTACCACAGCATTGGGTGCAGGCAGGTTTTCTGCCTGCACCCAATGCTGTGGTGCTGGGGTGAGCACCTCTGGGTGGGCGGCAGATTGCAGACACCCCTGGGAAGGGGGAGGGCTGCTGCGAGGCTCCGGCTGCCGATGCTCCTGGAGTGTGTGAATGGGCACAGGAGGGCTTGGTGGGATTTACCCACTCTGCACCTGCATAGAAGAGACGGTGTGCCGGCCTGGAAGGGTGCATGGCTGGGTACCACATGCTGCAGGCTGCATCTCATGCGAGGCAGTGGGCAGCCCCCCTGCTTTGGGAGTGGGGAAACTGAGGCAGGCGCAGGGCCAGCGGTCCAGGCCAGCTGGTTCAGCCCAGTATCCAGGGGAGGGTGCAGAGCCTGTGGCAGGCAGGGGAGAGCCCACAGCCCCCCTCACCTGACCCACTTCGCCCTGCAGCAGCCGCACGAAGAACATGATGTGGTATGGGGTGCTGGGCACGAAGGAGCTCCTGCAGCGCACCTACAAGAACCTGGAGCAGCAGTTGCAGCTGGAGGTACGGGGCCAGGGGGAGCAGGGATGGGGTGGGCAGGCGGCAGTGCTGCGGCCCCCCCAGGCTCAGCCCTCTCTTGCAGTGCGATGGGGTGCCCATCTCGCTGCCCAGCCTGCAGGGCATTGCTGTCCTCAACATCCCCAGCTACGCCGGGGGCATCAACTTCTGGGGAGGCACCAAGGAGGACAATGTGAGTGCCAGCGCCGCGGGGTGGGGAAAGGGCAGGACATCCTTCCCATGGTCCCAAGGATCCCTTGGGCAGGGGTCTGGGGTGTCCCTGCCTTGGGCACACATGGAGGAAAAAGCTGGGTCCCTAAATGAGCCCAGTTTGGGGGTTTCACCGGTCTTCTACAGAACTTTGGGGCTCCATCCTTCGATGACAAGAAGCTGGAGGTGGTGGCCGTCTTTGGCAGCATCCAGATGGCTGTGTCACGGGTCATCAACCTCCAGCACCATCGCATCGCACAGGTAGGGACAAGGGGCCCTGGGTGGTGCTGGAAAGTTTTTGAGGTGCCAGTGGAGCGTGAGGTGGTGCAGCTCAGCCAGGCTCCTGGCTGGCACTAGCATGGTGCCAGGAGGTTCTTTGGCCCCAGCACCGCAGCTGAAGCCATGGGTGCAGTGCCAGCCGCCATGCCAACCCCAGGCACTCTGCCCCACAGTGCCGCGTGGTGAAGATCACCATCCGGGGGGACGAGGGTGTCCCTGTGCAGGTGGATGGAGAAGCCTGGATCCAGCCACCTGGCATCATCAAGATCCAGCACAAGAACCGAGCCCAGATGCTGACACGGGACCGGGTGAGCTCGGGGTTGCACAGCCTGCGCAGCAGGGCTGTGCTGGCGCACAGGGAGCTGTGCCAGGCTGAGGGGGGCCATCTCCATCCCCCGCAGGCATTTGAAAGCACCCTCAAGTCCTGGGAGGATAAGCAGAAGGGGGAGAGCTACCGAGCGGCCGCCCGGCCACGGCTCAGCTCTCAGCAGTCCATGGAGTACCTGACCGAGGAGGAGCGC